ATATATATATATATATATATATATATATATATTTTTTTTTTTTTTTTTTTTTTTTTTTTTTGAGAGAGAGAGAGACAGACAGACATTGATTGATTGCCTCCTGCACAAGCCCCGACTGTGGATTGAACCTGAAACCTGGGTATGTGCCCTGACCAGGAATTGAACCCGCCACCTTTCGGTGTGTGGGATGACACGCAAACCAACTGAGCTGCACCAGCCATTCACATCTTTTGCCCGTTTTTTATTGGCATTATTTCTGTCACCCCAAAGCTCTCTATGGTTTTAGTTGGCATTCCCCATCACCCCCCAGTGAGGATGTTCAGCACCTTTTATATCTTCATTCATCATCTGGATAGACTCTTCGTTGAAGTCTTTCACCAGTTTTCCTTTGGAGTTGCCTTTTTAAAATGGTTTTGTACATTCCTCTTCTGATTGCAGAGTTATCTCTTCTTCTGCTATTTGACACCTCCCCTTCGCTATCCCTAGAATTTTTCTTTCTCCAAAATGTCCTATAAATATGTTTATCATACAATGCCAACACATTTACCCAAGAGAAACGAAGATGTTTCACAGAAAGACTTGCAGTGTTCAGAGCAGCTTCGTTTATAATAACCAAAGAATTGGAAACAACACAAATGTCATCACCTGTGAATTGATGAAAATAAATGGTGGTACAGCCCTACGGTACCCACACTGTGTGCAGCCTTCCGGGCCTGGCTCTCCCTCAGCTTCATGCTGCGAGATTCACCCCCATTGCGTTCCTTTGTGTTGTTGTTGAGTACTGTGTGGATGTACTGCAGGGGAGCTCTTCACCCGTGGGAGGATGCTAGGATTGTTTCTAGTTTGGGGGTTTGTGAATAAAGGTGCTGTAACATTTGTGCACAGGCTTTTGCCGGTGTCTTATGCCTTCATTTCTCTTCTGTAAACACGTGGGGGTGGATTGCTGGGTTATATGATAAACATGTGATTGGCTTTACTAGACACTATCAGACTGTTTTCTAAGCGACTGTCCTATTTTGCGTTTCCACCAGTGTCTGTAATAGTGATGTGTCATTTATGTGGGGATTTTGTGTGTGTGTGTGTGTGTGTGTGTGTGTGTGTGTGTGTTTTGTGAATCGTAACTAGGGATATTTTTCCATTGATTTTTAGAGAGAGAGGAAGGGAGGGAGAGAGACGCATTGTGGTTTTACTTTGCATTTTCCTAACGACTAATGATGTGATCATCTTTTCATGTATTTATTTGCTGTCCATACGTCTCTTTTGATGGAGTGTCTACTGAAATGATTTGTCCTTTGTTTATTGAGTTATTTGTTTTCTTACTGAGTAGTGAGCTTGTTACATAGTCTGCATACCAGTCCCTTACCAGATGTGGGTTTTGCGGGAGTGTTCTTTCAGTCTGTGTCTTGACTTTTCGTTTTCCTAACAGTGTCTTTTGCAGAGATGTTTTTAAGTCATCCAGGTCATTTATTTGTATTGTCTCCACTTATTGGTCTTTGATTTCTTCCACTAATATAGTTTTTGGCACATAAATCTTGTACGTCTTCTATTAGATTTATCCCTATTTCTTTTTCTCTTTTTTCTTTTTGGTGCTATGCAGCTTTTTGAAACTGCATAGTAGGTGGTGTGTTTTAAACTTCAATAACTTCAATTTCCAGGTGTTCATTGTGGTATATAGAAATGCAGTTGCTTCTGTTACCCACACGTCCTATGTCCTACAAGCTTGTTAAACTCACTCACTAGTTCTAGTAGCTTTTTGTAGATTTTCTCTGTTGACACTTTTGTCGTCTGTGAGTAGGGACAGGGGTGTCTGACTTCCCAGTCTGCGTGCCTCTTGTCTGGCCTGATGGCAGTCACTCGGGCCCCCAGTAGAGTTGAGTCCCTGCGAGCAGACATCCTGAGTTGCTCCTGATCTTAAGAGCGTTCAGTCCCGCTCTCATACGTGTGGTGTTAGCTGTGGGTGTTTCATAGATGAACAGGAAGTGCCCTCTGTTCCTGGCTTGCTGCGTTTTATCGTGAATGGATAGTAAATTGTGCTGAATGTGGCTGTTGTAATGGCTCTCGCCCTGAGCTCAGGAGCCTCACACTGTGCTAGAGGAACTTGGAGGGCTTTCCTTTGTGCTGAAGCTCAGAGCCCTCTGTCCCGCCTGCCCAGCCCACTGCCCACTCCCTTGGTGGGGAAAGGAGGCGGGTCTGGAGAACAGGACGCTGGCTCTTCCTTCTGGACCATGCAGGGTTTGGGCCCAGGGTGGGTTGCGTTGCTCTGAGAGGCTCAGGCTGCACTGTGGGTAGGCAGGTCCAGACCACATCTGTCACCAGGGGGCCACCCTGCCGCCCACAGTGGGTTCTCTTCTTGGGAGTCCCTGCTGTATCTCACTGCCTACAGCAGTGCCTGGCACAAGGTGGGCCCCCAGTACACGTGTTGCCTGACAGGGACACCCCCCACTGACAGCTTTCTGTCTGTGGATCTGTCAGCCCCCTGACATCCCTGCCCTATGCCCAGACTGTGCTTACCAACATTTGAGCACTTTTCCTTTGATATCAACACTAGTGGCCTGGTGCACGGATTCGTGCACATTGAAAGGCAATTAATTAGAAGAAATGTTTCTCTATAATAGAAGTGTCAACCAAATTCACGATCGATAATAACAGATCGAAACACACACGTGTGATTGGCGCCAGCAAGAGCTTTATATGTATCGTGCATGCGCTAATCAACTTAGCCTCTTATAGATATAGAATAAACTTGCTTAATTAGACCTGCTTTCTGATGTAGCTAAACTTTTTCCAGCCCAGGGAAGCACCCCAACTTCTCTTTCAGGTAATTGTCAGCAACACAGCAGTAAATATCAACATGAAGCAGATTATTATTGTAGATCACGCAGGGAGGACAAATGGTAAAATATGTTAACTGCAGCAGTGTTTAACTATATTCTGCACAGTGAGAAAACCTGATTTTCAAGGTCCACAGTTCTTACTTCTTTTCAGTCAGGTCAAGTTTCTAAACTTTGTAAATCTCCGTTTTCTGGCTAATGAAAAGAAACTAGGATTCTACCGAGTCTCCTATCTACCTACTCCAGGACTTCTGTGAGGATCAAATGAGATGAGGCACGGAAAACGCTTCACAGGCATTTGGTTAAAGTGTAAAATGTTTGCACCTGGCTATAAAGCAAGTTGTGTTCCTTAGCTGAAGAAACTCCAAGGAGGCTAGTTGCTAGGGAGAGGAAGCCGGGCGTTGCTACGTGACATCATTACCTGGCGCCCACAGCGACTGTTTCGGGCTGGGCTGGGCTGTGGGCCACATTTTGCGCCATGGGGTCTCGGCAGTGTTGGCTGCGATTTGGTGGGCTGTCACTCCAGAGTGGTGGTGGGGCCTGTGTCCCACTTGGGGGAAGCTGAGTGTTGCTTTGTCAGCGCCAGGTCCACAGTGCTGTTTCTTTGTAAATGGCCAGTGCATGTCAAGGCAGCTCCTGCGTTGAGCGTCTGCCCCCTGGTAGTCAGTGTGCATCTTAGTGACCCGTCGGACGGTTGGAGGGACACTTAGCATATTGGCCTTTTATATATATAGACTAGAGGCCTGGTGCATGAAAATTCATGCACTTGCGGGGGTGGGGGGGTCCCTCAGCCCGGCCTGCGCTCTCTTGCAATCTGGGAGCCCTCGGGGATGTCCCACTGATGGCTCCCCAGGGGAAGTGGCCTAAGCCGCAGTCTGGCCTCCCTCTGTGGGAGGTGACCAGTGGGCCAATCGCCGCCATCACCAGTGGCCTCCCTCTGCAGGAGGCAACCGCCAGGCGATCAGGGGATGGCTCCAGTTGGTGAGCGGCCGGCCCCACCCCTCATTACCCTGCTGCCACCACCGCTACCAGTGACCTCCCTCTGCAGGAGGCGACTGGCAGGGCAATAGGGTGATGAGCAGCTTGCCCCGCCCCCCAATCGCCCCTACGCCGCTGCTGGTCGCCGCCGGGGTCATTGCTGCCCCCTGATCGCCATCCTTTCCCTCTGGCACCCATCTTGGCTGGGCTGGCACTGCCTGCTCGCCAGCCCTGCCCCCCACCAATCAGTCCTTCCACCATTCGGTCGATTTGCATATTAGGCTTTTATTGTATAGGATGTGTTGTTTCACATTTGTTGAGAAGGCTTCACTTTTGAAGAATGTGCTCAGAGGGAGCCACCCACCCCTCCCCTGTGACCTCACTGCCGCCTTCCTCCCCTCATGGGCCTGCAGGCTTTTCCCGGCCAACACACATGCAGTTCCTTCAGCCCAAAGGCCTGCCTGGCCCCGTCCTCCCCTCCGCATCTCATCCTCTCCATAGCAGTGGGCTTCTTTCCCCGCCTGCCCTGACCGCTGCGGCCGCTGCCTTCCCAACCTGTGCCTCCGAAGTAGAATGTTCTCTTTCCCACCCACCTCCCAGACCTGGGGCCCCTACTCATGCCCCAGGACGGACCCCTAACATCACCTCAGGTGGGACGCCTGCCCTGCCCGCAGGCCCACAGAGCTCCTGCCCCCACTGGCTTTCTTGTGTGAATGGTATTTGCTTCCTCATGTGCCTCCCCCACTAGAGAGGGGCAGGGACAGCCATCTGGCTCCTCGCTCTGCAGGGGCTGAAAGGCTGGGCCTGGCCCTGGCTCCCCTTCCAGTCCTCACGCTGGCCTCTCCCCTCCCCAGGCTGAACTGATGAGCAGCCTCATCGAGTACTGCATCGAGCTGAGCCAGGCCTCAGAGCCCGCTGCCCCCCAGGAGGGCGCCTCCGGCCCCTCCTCCGCCCCCGGCTCCTTGCCACCTCCCACTCAGCGCCCCCAGCTACGCAGACAGGGCAGCGTGGTGTGCAGCCGGATCCAGCACCTCTCCACCATCGACTATGTGGAGGAGGGTGAGTGACCTCTTCATGGTACAAGTATGCAGGCCCCGGGGAGCTCGAGGGGAGGGGGGGCCGGGAGCCTCTGGCCGAGAGGAGGGCTGGGTGTGAGCGTCACATCTGAGCTCTGTGATCCGAACAGAGGCCTCTGGGGTCCTGGCGGTCAGAGCCCTGCTCTGCCCCTTCTCAGTGCTGCGTCCACAGACGTGTTCACACAGGACTGTCCAGGCGTGAAGACTAGAAACTCCCAGTGTCTGCAGCGGACAGGACCCTGGAAGGGCTGGTGAAGTCCGCATTGCCTCTCACAATGAGGTCGTCGTCTCTGCACCCACACTGGCGCGCGGGCACCGGGAGTTTCTAGTCTTTCACGTCTGGGAGGTGGTGAGTGTTACTGTCCAGGGAGAGATGCGTGTGGGTTGCTGTTTGAATTCTAGTGAAGTTCGACCATTTTTATGTGCTGGATCATTTCTGTTTTCTTTATGAATTACTGTTCACTTATGTTGCCTGTTTTCCTTTTTTTGCTTAATTTTTAAAAATTAACATCTTCCATTAACATGGCATATATATTGTAATTAATGAACCAATATTGATATTGTAGTTTGTTTGTTTTTATTGATTTCAGAGAGACAGGGAGAGGGGGAGAGAGATAGAAACATCAATGATGAAAGAGAATCATTGATTGGCTGCCTCCTGCACACCCCACACTGGGGATCAAGCCTGCGACCCAGGCATGTGCCCTTGACTGGAATCGAACCCGGACCTTTCAGTCCAGTCCGCAGGCCGATGCTCTATCCACTGAGCCAAACAAGCTAGGGCTGATTGTATTATTAACTGAAGTCCTTAGTGTAGCCTCGTGTCTTTTTTAGTTCATGAACCATCTGGACCCCACACTGCGTTCAGTTGTCACGTGTATTAGGCTGCTCTTGGCTGTGACCGTTTCTGACTCCTTTTGATGACCTTGGCAGCTGTGGGGGGCTGGTCAGGGACATTGTAGGATCCCCTTCACTGGAGTTTGATGTTTTTCTCAGGATTAGGCTGGGCTTACAGCTTAGGGTGAGGAAGATCACAGAGGTGGAATGCCATTTCTACCGCATCCTATCACAGGTTCCGTAGCAACATGACTTGTGGCTGTTGGTGTTGACCTTGGCCACCTGCTTGAAATTGTGAACTTGTAAGAGTTCTTTTGCCTCGTGGAGGCTCACCTTCAGCCGTCCTGCAGGTTGCAGGTGCTTGGTTTCTTCGGTCTGTTCTTGAATAGGTTTTAGCAAAAGCTCCTCAGATACCACGGCTGGCCCCGCATCCAACTCAAACACTGATTTGCCTCTGATTGGGGGCTGGTGACACGTCCACACACCCATCCCGTCAGGTGGAAGAGTGGGGGTGGGGGAGTGAGGCCAGAAAGTTGGCAGATGTGAAGAGGGGAGCTCAGCCCAAACCAGGCTTCCTGGGGGCTGCGCCCTCCCGGGAAGCCCTCTCCTCAGTGCGGTCCTCACTCCCCGACAGGCGAGCAGATCAAGCCGGTGAAACCGAAGCGCACCACGTCCTTCTTCAGCCGGCAGCTCTCCCTGGGCCAGGGGAGCTACACCGTGGTGCAGCCCAGCGAGCGCCCGGAGCAGAGCTGAGGCCGCAGTGCCAGTGCCGGCAGGAGGCGGGCGCAGGAGGGCAGGGCCAGGGGTGGCCCTCGAGTTGGGAAGAAGGCTACCTCGACGCGTGGAGCAGGGACTTCTGTGCTTGGGGTGGTGCCTGGGCTGTGCCCAGCTGGCTCAGGGATCCCACACGGTCCCTCTCCAGCCTGCCCTTCTGCACTGTGGGCCCCGCTGCCATCTCAGGACCATCTGATCAGCCAGTCTCCCCCTTTCACCCAGGGACTCGCCTGTGTGCCCCTCTCAAGATGGACAGCGTCCCCTGCTCTGAAGCCCCCACTGGCGGCTCCCATGACAGAAGGTCAAGGAATAGGGCTTGGGACCTGCAGGTCCAGAGTGTGTCTTTGGTCTATTCCCTGGACTTTGGTGACCACATCCCCGCATTTCGTTGGCCGGCATTCCACGCCTGCTGCCAGGCGGCCGTCCCTGTCGGGGTGGCTGGGGCCTCCAGAGCTGAACCATGGCAGGTGGCAGGAACGGAAGGAGAGGCCCGCACTCATCCCTCCCTGGCTGGATGGAACGAGGGAGCCGGGCAGGGCCCCGCTCAGCAGGGGCACCCTGTGCCCTTCACTCAGGCCTCTCTCGTGGGCAGGAGACACTGACCAGCAGGAAAGTGCCTCTTTGCTAGCTCTGGTGATGTCACTGCTGCAGGGGCTGTCCGGGACCAGCAGGCCCACAGACCCCCACCCCCACCCCCACTCGGAGAAGCTCCCAATTCCCCGGGGCTTCAGGTTTGTTTTGGTTTTTACTCGTCTGCTTTGGTTCCTTGAAGCCTGTAAACTCTGGGGCAACTCAAGAGAACCCCACACCCTCAGGGCCCGGCCCCCCCTCAGAGGTGACCATCGGGCCTGGCCCTGGGGGCCGGCCATGCGGGAAGTTCCACCCCAGCAGCCGGTCGCTTTCTTGGGAACAAATGGCCAAGGTGAATGTGGCGCTGGGCATGGCCAGCCCAGGAGCTCCTCCCCGGCCCTGGGCTCCTCTGCGGGGGGCCTGGCTCAGCTTCCTGGGACTTTGCGCAGGGAAGAGGCACCGGCTCAGCCAGCACAGGGCTCGCGTTGTCTCCCCTTCCTGGCGGGATGTGGGCGAGGAAATGCCAACCGCCTGTCTCCAGATGCCAGAGCCACCTCCTCCCTTGATGACGTTCGACACTCCAGGTGTGTGAGGTGGGCTTGCCTCGGGCAGCAGGGACTTCCTTATTTGTCATAATGAATAGGTGCCCCAGCCTGGAGTCACTCACCTCCCCGGCTGCCCGCCGTCTGGCTCCCAGCCCTCTGGTCCTCTAGTCCCACACACTGTTCTGATGCCAAGTGAATTCTTATCTGATGGGCCCAGGGGGCATGTGGGTGTGACGGGTGTGTGTGTACACAAATTACTTGTTTTTATTCCTGTCTTTCTCCTGTTTTCTAAGCATCCATTGTGTCTTAACCTTTTCTGCCTGTCCTTTGGACAAAGCCTTTTACTAAATGTCCTTTGAATATTCTGATTGTTTTGTACCATGTGACTTATTAATAATAAAATCTGTTTCCAGCAGCTTTGGTGTTTATGATATGAGTAATGAGTGTGCGATTACAGCCTGGGAGCTGATCACAGCAGCGTGTTGGCTTTTTATTGACTATGCACCAGGGATGCAGCCCTCGGGCTCCCTGCTGCACCACGGAGCAGCCCGAGTGCAGTTTTCCAATCTTGGTGGTTGGTCAGTAAGAAGGTCCAAGAGAGGTTTGGGGGTTCATGGTGGGAACCAAGGCAGGAGCTCTGCGGGGAGCCGGGGAACAGGGAGTGACAGGCTGCTGGGCCCTTGTCCCTGTCCTGTGGCCCTGAGCCACCTGTCACCAGGTGCCTCCTCACACCTGGGGGTGGGGCCCAGGGCAGTGTCTCGGGAGATGGCAGAGAACCCAGGAGGTGTGGGCGATTCTTGACCCTCCCTGAGGGCTCCCCATGCCCAGGGCCAGGGCCAGGGCAGGGGCAGTTTGTTTCTCACAGATCCTGTTGGGCAAGGACGGCGTCAGGCCGGCCTCTGGAGCGCTGTGGACCCCACAGGAAGCTGCACAACAGGATGACCTGGGCGTTGCTCCTGTGGGTGAGCATCATCTGGAGGTTGGGGAAGTCCTGTGCCCGGAAAGCTGGAAAGAGAACGGGGCTCATCTGAGAGGCTGCGCCTGCCGATGGCACAGACACCCCATCTTGGTGGTTCAAGGAGCACCATCGACCTGGGGCCTGGCAGGCCTGGAGCCCTTCCTCTACCCAGGCCCCTCTGCCCTCTCCACTAGGTTAGTTTCCTGTGGCTGCTGTAACCAGTGACCACAACCTTGGTGGCTCAAAACAGCTCACTCACCGTCTCAGTCCTGGAGGTCAGAAGTCTGAAATGAACTCACTGGCTGAGATGAGGGTGTGGGCAGGGCTGCATTCCGTGCTCGAGGCAAGAACCTGTTTGCTGTTCCAGCTTCCAGAGGCCGCCTGCGCTCCTTGGCTCGTGGCCCCTCCCTCCACCTTCAAGCCGGGGAAGGAGACGGGCGTCCTCAGCCTGCACTGACTGTCCCTCCTCACACCTCTTTCTCCGACTCCCCTCTGCCCTCCACGTCCAGGGTTAGGACCCTTGTGGTTATTACTGCACTGGGCCAAGGTGGAGAGTCCGCATCTCCCTACAGTCAGCTGGTTAGCTACTGAATTCCTCTTTGCCGGGAAACTTACAGCCTGGGAGCTGATCGCAGCTGTGTGTTGGCTTTTTATTAACTACTAGTGGCCCGGTGCACAGATTCGTGCACATTGAAAGGAAATTAATTAGAAGAAATACTTTAATATTGCTATTTGCCCTTTCTCTATAAAGAAGTGTCAACCAAATTCATGATCAACAATGACAGGTCAAAACACACGTGAGCCATTGGCGCTAGTGAGAGCTTTATATGTATTGTGCATGCGTGAGTCAACTTAGCCTCTTATAGATATAGAATAAACTTGATAAATTAGACCTGCTTTCTGATGTAGCTAAACTTTTTCCAGCCCAGTGAAGCACCCCAACTTCTCTTTCAGGTAATTGTCAGCAACACAGCAGTAAATATCAACACGAAGCAGATTATTATTGTAGATCACGCAGGGAGAACAACGGGTAAAATATTTAACTGCAGCCGTGTTTGACTATATTCTGTGCAGTGAGAAAACCTGAAGTCATTTTCAAGGTCCATCAGTTCTTTTCAGTCAGGTCCAGTTTCTAAACTTGCTAAATCTCTGTTTTCTGGCTAATGAAAAGAAACTAGGATTCCACCGAGTCTCCTATCTACCTACTCCAGGACTTCTGTGAGGATCAAATGAGATGAGGCACGGAAAACACTTCAAAGACATTTGGTTACAGTGTGAAATGTTTGCACCTGGCTATAAAGCAAGTCCTGTTCCTGGGCTGAAGAAACTGCAAGGAGGCTAGTGGTCGCTAGGGAGAGGAAGCCGGGTGTTGCTATGTGACAGCATTATCCGGACGGACACTTAGCATATTAGCCTTTTATATGGAGAGAAGATGCGGCAAGGAATGCAGCCCTCGGGCTTGGGCTCCCGTACTGAGTGCCACGGAGCAGCCAGAGTGAGGTTTTCTGATCTTGAGAGATGGTCAGGGTAAGAAGGCCCAAGAGGGTCCTTAATTCCTCTTTGTCTGTAAATTCTGATTCACAGGCTCCAGGGATTAGGACACAGGATCTTGGGAGCCTTGCTTCTGCCTACCACACCCCCACTTTCACTGTGGCCCTCCCTGCTTTGTGCTCATTTACCTCCTCTCTGACCAGGCATCCTCGGTCCTCGCACCCCCTGTGCTGGTGGCCAGGTGAGCCGAGTGGCTGCGTGTCTGTGTGGAGGCTCAGGCTGACTGGGGGACCCCCTCCCAGCACCATGGAGGAGCTCCTGCTCCAGACACCCTTTCTGACTGGCTCACTCTGCCCAGGCCTCCTCCCTGGACCACAGCCCAGTCTCCACTGATACCCAGTTGTTTTTTGGGCATAAGTTCAGAAAGTGTGTCTACACGTGCGCATGCACGCATGCACACATGCCCCCCATTTCAGTCCTCAGTGGGCTCCTCCACAGAAGGGCTTTGTGCTCTCTGTGCCTCCCAGCACCACAGGGGAGAGGATAGGACACTGCCCACCCGGACCACCTCACTACATCCTCCTCTCCTGCCCCCCAGCCCCGTTCTAGGCTCAGTTCCGCCTTCACTGCTCTGCTTGCATCTGCCCACGGCCACATGCTCCAGGTGCAGCTGGAGACCAGCTGACCCCTAGAAACCACCCAGTGTGGCCTGTAGAGGGAGCCAGCAGGTAGGGGGAGAGGTTGGGTGCTGGGGGAGGCCTCTCAGTTTGTGATCCCAGTTCCAGGCACCCTGAGGGGCCAAAGGGAGCGGGAGCCCAACTGGGAAGGGTCCCCCGGGAGTCGCTTCCTGGTCCCTGAAGCGCTCTGCCTGCTCTCACACTGTGCTGCCTGCACTCACACTGTGTGCTGCCTGCACTCACACTGTGTGCTGCCTGCTCTCACACTGTGTGCTGCCTGCTCTCACACTGTGCTGCCTGCACTCACACTGTGTGCTGCCTGCACTCACACTGTGTGCTGCCTGCTCTCACACTGTGTGCTGCCTGCTCTCACACTGTGCTGCCTGCACTCACACTGTGTGCTGCCTGCTCTCACACTGTGTGCTGCCTGCACTGTGGGTGCCCGAGGGTGAGCCCTGGTTTACGCATCCCCACGAGGCGGCACCAGCTGAAATCCAGGCTCCGAGCAGGTGTTTGGCAACGTGAACTCTAGGACGCCCACCCGCCCCTGTCCCCAGCCCTCGGCACACAGAGACTGAGTCACCTGCAATGAGAGGACAAGCCTCAGGGCCCACCCCTTTGCAGGAGCCCCTGCCCAGGCCCTAGAAGGACTTGGGCACTGTGTTCAATGGTTTTTGTAGAATTTGCAAAAGTAGGATTTAAAAATTATTTTTTCTTACAGAGGACCCTACAATTATTGAAGTCCTGGGTTAGTCCTCACCCACAACATACTGGCTCCACTCGTTTCTAGAACACACCTGCAATCTTTCACCTCTGGCATCCTCAACCGCCTCCCCACCTTGGCTGCCCAGCATAGCACCTGTCCACATTCCCTTCACCCTTCGCAGGGACGGCTGTCCCCTGGGAACAGACTGGTCTCTCCTGCAACACACCTTCTCTCCTGGAGGGCCAGGACCTGCTCATTGTCCAGCTTTCCTCTCCTCTGCTGTGTAGCCTTAAGCAAGTTCTACCACCTGCCTGGCTTCCATTTCCTCTTCTCTAAAATGAGGATGGTCGCCCCTGTGGGCCGGTGTGGCTCAGTGGTTGAGCATCAGTCTATGAACCAGGAGGTCACAGTTCGATTCCCAGTCAGGGCACATGCCTGGGTTGTAGGCTCCATCCCAGTGTGGGGCGGGTCCTGCAGGAGGCAGCAGATGAATGATTCTCATCACTGATGTTTCTATCTCCCCCTTCCTCTCTGAAATCAATAAAAATACATTTTAAAAAATACATAAATAAGTAAATAAAATGGGGATGCCTGTCTAATCTGGCCACACCCCAGGGGCAGAGCACCGTGTGCGCACACATCTGTAGCGTTTGCAGAGGCGGGAGGTGGTTGGCAGGTGCTCCTGACCGGAATCAAACGTCCGCCCTCTGAGCTCCGGTTTCATCGTCTGTGAAGTGGGGACATTGAGTGACAGATGTGAAAGCATCTCTGGCCTGCAATGGCTGCATCTGTCTGTGGTTATGTCAGGTTCATTCATTCACTCATCCCACTTGATGGTCCCAGGTCATTTCATGCCCCCTTTGTTCCCGCCTGCACGTTTCCTGGGGCTGCCTCAACAGGATACTGTACATGAGGGTGGGTGCTTAAACAACAAGTGTATTGTCTCAGTTCAGGAGGCTAGAAGTCTGCAAGGTGTAGGCAGCCGCAAGCTCGCTCTGAGGCTGTAGGTGTAGGGGGTCCCTCCTGCCTCTCTCAGCCTCTGGGGTTCTGCTGGCAGTCTATGGTGAAGTCCTGGGTTATCACATGCCCCCCCCCACCTGTGTGTGTGTCTGTCCTTACAGGGCCTTCCTCATAAGGACCCCAGTCATAGCGGACTAGGGACCCACTCCCCTTCTCTTCATCCTGACTACACCTGCAATGATCCTATTCCCAGCTAAGGTCACATTCTGAGGCACTGAGGGTTGGGCTTCAACATAGCTTTACCGGGGGACACACAATTCAACCCATAACACCACCCTGATGGTTTATTATTTTGGTCTTGGGGCTTTTAAAAAATATCAACTGGCAGCTGGTAGCTCAATTGTTGGAGCATCGTCCCATATACCAAAAGGCTGCAGGTTCAATTCTCTGTTAGGACACATACCTAGGTTGTGGGTTCAACACCTGGTTGGGGCTTGTGTGGGAGGCAACCAATCAATGTTTCTCTCTCACATCAATGTTTCTGTCTCTCCCACTTCCCTCTCCCTTCCTCTCTCTCTAAAATCAACAACAATAATAAAACATATCTTCAGGAGAGGATTAAAAAGAAATCTTTAA